AAATGAACAGAACCGGGGGGTGGGGAGGGATTCCCTCCCGGGGCGTTCGGGGACGTCTACAATACCACATTTTAGAATGAGAGAATTGCATGATGAAGACCAAAAGCATGTAGTAGCACCAATGGCCCATTTGTCCATATCTAGAGAGAAAGTTGATAACCTGATGGCATCGTAAATACCCAAAGCTCTCCAGAGGTCTATGTCGTATATCATCATTCGTTGAACCCATTGTTTTCGGTCCGAATTGGGTTTTTTCCATGTGCGTAGAGGATTTGGGCTGGAATCCCAATGTTTCCATGACAACTCTGCTTTGTTGAAGAGTAGTGTTTCAATGTCTACAATAGGATAGTGCTGGGTAAGTTCATCAGGAATGGTTATATTGAAAGTAGGGCCTAGTTCTCCTTCTCTAGGGTTGCCATGGCATGGGATAATTCAGTTGTTAAAGATGTTTTGACGCAGTAGCTGTTGAAAATTGATTGGAAAACGTTGGACAGATGATGGCTCAGTTTGTTTCTTTCCTTTGACCTAATCTCGTTTGAGCGCCATTAGAGAGTGTGAGCAGAAGGGTTTTTTCGAAGTCAGAAGCAAATAGTAGAAAAAGATAGAGAATGGTGGAACGATGATTTGAATTCTGGGATTCAAATAGCTTGTGGTGGGCCCTCAGGTTTAAAATTTGGGCTTTATTTGATAGTTTGAGCAATTGGGCTTACTCGGAGTTCTTGAAAGTTATGTTAGATTAATTTTTAACATTTAACATTTGGGCCTTATGACAAATTGTAGATAAACAGCCCAAATATGCAAATGTCCAACTTTATTTCTTTTAGGTAATCATTCAAGGCAAAAAACTCCTTTTTTCTTTTTGTCTTGAATGAGGGGGTTGTTGACACTAAAAATTGTATATTCTCTGTCGATTGTATGTAACAAATGCAGAGAATTGGTCCAACGGATGCTAGGTTTAAAGACCATGAGTTTCAAGAAGTTTACAAGTGAAAAGCGGGTGAATATGAAGTCTAGAATACAGAGCAAGTGACAAAAAGGAAATAGTCAAAGAGACAGACATGGCAGTTGCAGTTTTCCTGTCGATTCGTCTAGTAGTGAAGTGGAATATGGCCAAACATGGCCCAAACGTCAAGCCATAAAGTTAGCATGCAAGGCATACAGGATACGTGTCGCGTTTCCTATAAGGAGAAAAGCTGTAATAGATAAGCAGTTACTGACAGCTGTAGAGATCATGGGCATTGAAGTGGAGGTAGTTGGCTACATGATGGGACACGTGGCAGCAGAGCAGCAGTGGGGTTTGAAGACTAGCAATATAAAAATTGAAAATTCGAAGTTAGAAAGGATCTTCAAACAAATTTACAACCCTTGTAGCATTAGGAGTAACTTAACTTACCTAGTTCTTACTTAGGAGTAGTTTATCTGTAGTTTAGTTTCTGTAACTCAGAGTTTTCTGTCGATTGTCCTGTACATTGAACTGGAAATTTAGTTTTATTGATTAAATTCCAAGTTTGTTTGTTCAACAATTGATTTTCAATTTATTCCTTCTTGTTTCTTCGCATTACAGCCTCCAAAGAAGTCCTTGAATCCGTCAAGGCATAGAACGTTCAGACCACAATTGCTTGATCTATTGTTGTTTGTGAATTCTGGGTTTTCATCCAAATCACATCTGTCGATTTGGCCCAGACCAGATTTTTTGCTAACACCTTCTTTTTATTTTTATTTTTTTATTTTTTTGAACAGGTTTATGCATATACCTGTCACGTAAGATTTTACTTTCCAAAAGGCCAGAATGTGTGCCTAAGTTGTTTGACAAAATTCCTCTTAAACAACATTGAATTACTTTAATGATACACACAAGCTTTATAATTTCATTTCAATTGGCCCTTTTCTTACAACACCATGATAACAAAATTGATTCAGTTCCCTTGTTTAGCCTCTGGTACTATCAACAACAGTCTTTGGGAACTAGCATTTCCTCTCTTGATCAAATCAAACCAATAGAAAAAATCACTCAAGAAGAAAATCTCTGGTGTGTATAAATGTACAGATTCCCTTTAGTGTTTCACACTATTTTGCTATAAAAATAATATTCTAAATTTAAGAAAATTCATCCCAATTGGGCTCTCTGAATTCAATTAGTAATTTTTCCATCCAAACCAACTATTTGGTGAATAATCTCTTCAGCTTTAGATAGTTTTCACCAATCTTGTCTACTGAAAGAGATAGCAATTTTTATGATTGAACAAATTTTCTCCCCTTAATAGATGTTTTCTTAAAATTGTTCTATTATAATGCACACTTTGTTCTCTTACAATCTTTGTGATTGAACAATTTTTCCATTCAAACTAGGACTGCAAATGAACAGAGCCGTTCATGAACAAGCTCGAGCTCGGCTCGGTAAGAGCTTGTTCGAACTCGGTTCGTTAATTTTTTTTGCCGTTCGAGCTCGAGCTCGTTAAATTTTTAATAAACAAGCCTAAACATTCTAAAGCTCGACTCGTAAGCTCGGCTCGTTAGTTGGCTCGTTCAATATTTATTATTTATATATTAAATAATATAAAATTATGTATAAAAAATAAGAGAAATATGCTATTTATATATTTAAAAAATATAAATGTAAATAATACTTAACTATAGATAATATATTTATATAATAGTGGTAGTAGATATTATTATTTTAGTAAAATATAGACTTTTTTTTAGTATGTTTATATATATTGTATATATAATTGTATAATCAAAGTTTTAATTTCTTCAGCTTTAGATAGTTTTCACCAATCTTGTCTACTGAAATAGATAGCAATTCTTATGATTGAACAATTTTTCTTCCCTTAATAGGTGTTTTCTTAAAATTGTTCTGTTATAATGTACACTTTGTTCTGTTACAATTTTTGTGATTGAACAATTTTTCCTCCCCTTAATTTTTCCATTCAAACCAACTATTTGATGAATAATCTCTTCAGCTTTAAAATTGTTCCCTTTCCATATACATTTCCATTAGATCTAAGTTAGAAAGGTCATTCTCTTCACAAACATAAGCAAATAAAACCAAAAACTTATGTAATATATATTAGTATATAAAATAGGACAACTATAGTTCAATGTATATGGCCAAAAATAGTAATCTGTGTGAAGGTGCAAGTATTTTTAAATAGAAAAACATTATTAAAAGAAAAAACTTGCATCCCCTAAGATTTTCTCCTTTTTGAAAAATAAAATAAATATATATGTCTCACCTCCACTTATAAGTAATTTAAATAAGGAGTTGTCTCAATATAATGGGTAAGATGGGAGGGCAACATATAGCACATGCATACTTCCTTTTTCATAAGATGACAATAAGCAGAAAATAGATAGGATTGACGCAATCAATTTATATGTTAATCTAAAAATTTTAATTTATAGTTATTTTACATGAATAATTTTGTCCACATCCCCTATATATTTGATTTTTCATTTTTTTACCTTTCATTTCAAACATTTTTTATTTATATGTTAGGCTAAGTTGGGTTAGGATGAAAATAATAGAAAGTATGAAAAAATAATAATAATAATAATAATAATAATAATAAATTCCAAATTTGTCGAGCATGAATAGTGGAAGTTATAAGAAATTTAATTTACTTGTACAACTCACGATAACATGGTAACTAAAATCTCAATTCGTTGCAAAAAACACAGCAAAATATAAGAATAGAAGTGCTAAAAACTTACAATTTTAGATCTTTAAATTCACCTACAATAATGTGACAAGAAAGTTAGACCCTAACATCATTGTGGATATAATAAATTAAAAATTAACACTTATCATATCATATTATTGTAGGAAAATTGTATAAACTTTTGAAGAATGTTAAACATTTTCTATACACGAATGTTTACATTTATTATAAAAGTAGTTTATAATTAGAATTTCTTTTTTTTTTTTAACAAACCTTTCATTCTAATCAAATTCATATATGAAATATTTATTTCACTTTTTACTATTTTCACTTACTACCATTTTTTTTTATCATTTATTTATTTTTAATCAAACATGTCGTTTCTCATGTGCAACGCACATGCTTTCTATACCAGTAGCTTAAAAAGTGTCACGGAAACACGTGTTAGTATTACGGAACTAAAATTTGTTTGATCAACAAATTTTGAAATTACACTTTTTTTTGGATTTTATTTGTAGTTAAAAAATTTACAAAAAAATCATTCAATCCGATCAATTTCTCATACTCTTTATTAAATTATTTAAATTATAATTTATTCTTAATACATCTTATATTTTTTTTCACAAATTACCTTTTAAAATAAAATCATAATTTATAATACACTCAAATAATAAACAAATGAAAAACCTTAAATTCCTCCAAGTCAGTCTCGCTGATCTCTGCAAATAAGACAATCTTGATGAATTGCCCCGCAACACCCCTGCTATTTCAAATATCACCATAAATACATTTATTTGGGTGTAGTCAATTGATTGAATTTTGAGACATTGTTGTGGATAACCTATCCTTACTTTTGTAAATCTCATCACGAATTCATGTGTTTGTATATATATTGGTATTATTGTGTTATTTATTTAACATGGGACGGTGAGTTATTAAGATTTTGGATTGTTTGTATCTATCATAAGTGACGAGAATATTTTTTTTGAATCCCCGACATTGTTAATTTTGTTTTGTTATGTATTTATATATGAACATGATAATATGATAGAAAAATGATGCAGACCACTAATTAGTGGTTGCACTAGGGATGTTGCAGTGGGTCTGACCCACTGCCACATGTGTTTTGTGTCTTAGTTTTTGTTTTTGTTTTTGTTTTTTTTACTTGCCACATTATTAGTGGTGGTGTTAGTGGTAGAAATTTAGTGGTCTGTAGCATTGTTGAATATGATATTAGACATATAAAACATGAAAAATGTTTTATAGCTCGAAAAATTTACCCCCGAATGGCCCTGAAACGACGTGGTTTCAGCAATTCAATTTTTTTTTTTTCTCTTTCTTTCCTCAAAGTCGACTCCATTCGAGCCCTTAATCTCTTCCAAATCCTCTCATCTCTGTCTACTCACTCTCTCCTCGCAAAATCCTCTCATCTCTCTCTACTCACTCTCTCCTTGAGCCCTTAATCTCTTCCAAATCCTCTCATTAGATATGGGTGTGGACTCGCATAACAGATCTTCAGCTACGGGTGTTGATTCGCATACGGTTTGTGTTGATTCGCATAACAGATCTTCAGCAGAAAAAAAAGTACCACAACCAAAAACTAGGGTTTGTGTTTCTATTTGATTGCTAAGAAAAAAATAGTTAAAATTTGTGTTAGGGTTTTGGTTTTGGCTTGAATTTGTAGAACATGTTTTACAGATTCCTCAATTATTGATTATTAGGGTTATGATTGTTTGTTAGGGTTTGGGCATTATGGGTTTTGCCTTCAATTTTTGATTGTTATGTTGATTTTGATTGGCCATTATGTTGATTGTTTGGGCATTATGGGATATGTGTTGATTGAGTCAGACATGAGCTAATAGGATTGATGAGGTTTTGATGTCTCAATTTGAGGTTCGGACATACCAATTAAGGTTTCATATTAGAGCTTGGAATTTTGGAAATGTAGAAACTTGAGTTTTTGATTTACTGTTCTTGTCAATATGTTTTTGATTGCAACAAATGTTTTGGGCATTCAAGTTTACTGTTCTTGTCAATATGTAGGATTTACTGTTCTTGAATTTTGGAATTTTGGGCATTCAAGTTTCATTTTGTTTTTGATTTACTGTTCTTGCCAAAATTAAGTTTAGCTAAGCACAAGCAGTTATGAATTAGAAACAGTTCAATGTTGCCTTGAGTTAAAATCTATAGCTTAATCTAATATGTTTACTAATATATATATATATATATATTCATCTTCTATTGTAGCAAATGTTTTGAGTTTTTCAATATGTTTTCTTTTTCTTTTTCTTTTTCTTTTTCTTTTGCATATGAAAGTTTCCATGCATGTTTTTCTACCTAATTTGTTGGTCAACCAATTTACCCAATGGCCCTTGAACTCTAATTTCATTCTCAGTCCAGATATTCATCTAAAAGCTCATCTCTAAGGGTCTAGTTGATTGGTTGGATTATAGTATAAAATTGGAATTATTAATTCATAGGGCTAGCCCTGAGTTATTAGGGCCTAAGGCGAATTTTTTAAATTGGGTATGCTCAAGCTGTTCTAGCAATAATAGCTATGTATGTATCATGTCTTTGTTTTCCATTTTGTATGCAGATTACAAAATGGCTTCTTCCTTTAGTAACAATAGCAACATAAGATTGAAACCAAGATTTTGTGATTGTGGGAGAACAGCTGCCATACGTATTGTTCAAACCAATCAGAATGGAAATAAAGGGCGTGTGTACTTTGTGTGTCTATCAAAATATGTAAGCAGTATGGAAATTTGTTTGGAAATTTGTTTGCAAATTTATTAGCCTGATTTGATTAACTGATTGTTATGCATTGTAGATTAGTGAGGAACACTGCAATTACTTCAAGTTCGCAGATGATGATGACGACGATGTGATCTCCAATGCTTGACCTCGTAAATCTATAAGAAGCGAAGAATTTAACGATCTAAGCACAAGGGTTTATGAGATGGATAATGAATTTCAGGAGCCTGGTAGAAGGCTTCGAAGGATGAAGAAGAAATTGGATGTCATGCTTTATGTCATTGTATTTTGTATTGTTTTCTATTTTATGATGTAAATTACTGAGTTGATAGCTTTTGGGGAATTTGATGGATGTACTTATGGATTGAATGGACTTGAATGGACTTGATAACTTGAATGGACTTCTATTTTCAATTATTGTTGATAGGTTGAATTTCTTGTTGAATTTCTTGAATGGACTTCTATGGATTGAATGGACTTGAATAGACTTGATAACTTGAATGGACTTCTATTTTCAATTGTTGTTGATAGGTTGAATTTCTTGTTGAATTTCTTGAATGGACTTCTATGGATTGAATGGACTTGATAACTTGAATGGACTTCCACTTTCAATTATTGTTGATAGGTTGAATTTCTTGTTGAAGTTCTTGTTGAATTTCTTGAATGGACTTCTATGGATTGAATGGATTTGTTGATAGTTCAATACCAGACATGTTGAATTTCTTGAATTTCTATAATAGACTTGTTGAATTATGATGTCAAGATGACAGAGCTAAGTGGAGACCAGACTCTTACTCGCCAACAAAGGACTCTTACACTGCCTAACTATGAGGATGTGGCATTGTTTTTGCGAGTTGATTTGAATAAAGGACTCTTTCATTTTGACAACAGTTACAGACCTTGTCCTCTTGCCCAACAATATATTGGAATCACAGTAAAGAAGCCACTGCAGAGATTCCAGTTGATGAATGATGTTTGTTATGAAAAGTTTACATGCTTCTAGGTCTCCTAACTCTTTAGTGCTGCATTCATGAAGAAAAGGGAATTTTTACTATTGAATTACATTTTTTCTAGACTAGTCCAGTGTGTGTTTCTTCTGGGGCATTGTCTCAGCACACAAACTGCAATGTTTCACATGATTGGTAGTGGTCTAGTTGGATGTTCTACGTAGTTTTTGGTCCTGATGTCAAAAAGGTTAGAATGTTGCTCATTCTTGATATTGTTCCATGGAATAACAAAACCATGTTTAAAAATTTCAATTTTTATGTGAGAATCATGCATCATAGGCCCAGAAAGATATGTGGTGTGTTGTTTTGTTGAAGAGCTAGGGTCCTAATGAACCTACGACCATACAGCTTCTAAGTTTGCATGTGGATAATCAACCCAGATGGAATCTTTTCAATCTTAAGCAATAAATGGATTTATTTAAAGTAACTAAAAATAATAATTCTTTTGAAATGCTTTCCAATATAATATGGAATTATTTCTTTTTGAAGGGATATGCAAATGCCAGATTTTCTCAACCTGCAGATGCCAGATGAATCTCCAGCAAGGAGTGTGTGGATATTCTCAACCTACAGATGTTCTCAATCTCCAGCAAGGAGTGCATGGCTAAACTAAGGACTGACCAAAGTGTAAAACATATCAAATTTTATATAAGGTAATGTATGTGTGTATGCAATTGCTACAAATATAAATATGTTCAAGTACATAGCCCAAAAAAACAGAGCAATCCAAAATCAAACTGTTGATTTTCTTATCCCAAATAAATATGTTCATTCTGCATCATTCTACTGCATCATTCTGCATCAACCTACTTTATGTGCTGCATCATTCTGCATCAACCTGCTTCATTCTGCTGCTTCATTCTGCTGTGATGTTTCATTCTGGACTGCTCAATGCTTCATTCATTCCAGACTGCTTCAATCAACCTGATTAAATATAACCTGTTCAAAACCAGATTTTCAAAATCAAAATATACAGAACTTGACAGAACTTGTTTAGCATCTGAAATTCAACTTGACAGAACCTATTCAAAATCTGTTCAAAATCAAATATAACCTGTTCCGAATTTGTTCAAAACTTGTTCAGAATCAAATATAACCTGTTCTGAATCTATTCAAAACCTGTTTAGAAAAAAAAATACCATAGCTTTACAAACATAAGTTCACAATTTGGGGCTATTGGATCCGCATCTATAATGAAGTCCACAAAAGTAACAATCCCCAGTTTACAAACGAAAGTGATAAATACGATAGTACAAAACTAAAAAAAAATGGAGCATTTGGATCCACATCTGTATTCAAGTCCACAAAAGTTGAACCATCTATATTCGTCATTCCTGATTCACTGAAAGATGAGCTTCCAATTTTGTCCACCATTTGCAATGCGCTCTCTTATGTCCCATCCATACAAGGAAAATAATAGGATTGACCTTGCGGCACCTTATGATACATAATAACAAAATATCATTAATAAGTTCAAACATAATGTAATAAATACCATACAAAAAATTGTACTAGACCATGAAACACATACCCGCTCGTACGTATTGTCTTCCATCCCATCCATACAACCAAAATTCAACTTACAAGGTTCACATTGACCCATCTTACGACCCTATAGTAACACACATTGGTGAAAAAGTTTGACAAAAATAAATTCTGAAATTTACATACAAGCAGAAAATAAAAATTATACCTGAACTTTTGGTGCCTTTTTATTCTTTCCTTTCAACCGACTCACTATTTCGTCCACCTTGCTCACCTTCCGTTTCGTACACGGACGGCCTCTTCAGTGAGCAACCAAAGGAATAAGCACCTTGCACGTAGCACTAGAAGGTGGCACATTACTACTAGCAGGTGGGACAGTACTACTAGCAGGTGGCATATTACTCGCATAACCAGATTCATCTTTTCTTACTCTTTCCTTGATGTCTCTCAACCCAAGTTGAATGGCTTTGTGTTTACTATCATCGTTGGAAGCAACTTCTATAATTTCATCCAATGTCTTGTGGTAGTTATCATGTACCTTTGCATTGAGGGCAGCCTCGGATTTCGAGTATGTCGTTGGAATGCACGCGTACCCTCTTTCCAAATCTTTTCTCCATCTTGGCATAATGTACTTATCTGGAACCTCATATATGCACCTCTCAATGAGCACACTAAGGGAATGGGCACACATGATCCCCCTAAACTCAAACCACCGATACACACATTGCATTTCAAATTCAGTTGAATTAAAGTATACAACAAATTCAACTTTCTTCACTTTGTCACCCACAAGCACAGCTTTCTTGACATGATAAGTACAAATGGATCTGTCCTCCTTCACAAGAGTCGCATGACAATACAATAGTCGCTTCAATTCTACTTGAACTTCTTTAAATTTCGCATTTGTGTAGGCTGCACGAAATTGCTTCTCAAACTCATACACCGTTAAGCAATCATACAATTTGTTTCGAGATTTGAAGTCTGCTTTGGTCTCCTTCTCCACCTTACTTCTCAATACATTGTCGTACTGTTCAACAAATTGCTTTAAAGTAGTCTTTGAGTTTACATAGCCATCAAAAAATGCATTCATGCTCTCACTTCGCTGTGTAGTTAACAAGCCAGCCCAAAATATATCTTTCACATAGGCAGGAATCCACCTATGTCGCTCACCATATAATACCCCCAACCACTCGTTGTCATGAAGGCTAAACTTTTCAATCATCATTTGCCATTCCTCATCAAATTCATCTTTTTTGAAAGAATCATAGACTGCATTTTGTAAAGCGAATTTGATGGCTTCATATTGGGAATATCCTCTCAATTTCTCAGGTATTTTCTTCATTACATACCATAAACACCAACGATGTCGAGCCTGTGGGAAGACAATTTGTATGGCATTTTTCATGGCTCTGCACTGGTCAGTTATAATAGCTTTTGGAGGAGTGGCTGACATGCAATTTAACCATTCTTTGAATAGCCAAACAAATGTGTTCATGTTCTCATTAGATAATAGCCCACAACAAAACAAGATTGACTGTTCATGGTGATTAACTCCTACAAACGGAGCAAACAGCATATCATACTTGTTTGTGAGATGGGTGGTGTCAAATGAGACAACATCCCCAAATGCTTTATAAGCTGCCCTACTTCTTGTGTCCGCCCAAAACAAGTTTCGTATGCGACCATCTACATCAAAGTCAATTGCAGAATAGAAGTTTGAATTTTCTTGTTGCATCCTATGAAAATAAAATGCAACTGATTCGGCGTCTCCTACCCCAAGCCTCAATCTTCTAGCATTTTGAATCTGGTTCCTTGCATCTCGTTCATCAAATGTTAATGCCTCATATCCCCCCGCTTCAATAACTATAGAATTAAAATTCCTAGACACCCCTATTCCGGCTTCATCGTTTATTTCTAATCTTCTCTTCACAGGAGTACGAATCCTCTTATTCATTGGAAAATGGCATGAGTCGCTAGGAATGAAATCATGCGTATGCTCAAGCACAACTGTAGTTAACTTATATCTTCCATCCGGTTGTAAAGTCGCTCTTACCTTAGCTTTACAATCAATTTTTGATGACAAATATGGTTTCAGGGGGGTTTACTTCTGATCTTTTTGTCCTCTTCTGCGCCCGAGTACATTCAATTCCAAAGTATTTCACCTTTCCATCCGCTCCAACATTATGTGTTCTGTAAGCTATTGCAAATCCAAGATTTTTAGCATATTTTGCATAAAACTCGTGCACTTCTTGCTTTGAGGTAAAACACATCCCCTTCTTAGGTTCTTCAATTTCACCACTCTCATTTAATGAATGATTGTTCTCTTCTTCCTCAACTTCCTCACCCTCACTCAATGTAAGATTGTTTGAATCAATGTCCATTGTGTGAAACACTCTACTGTAATAAATCAGTAGAATGAAATGCACAAGGTTAGAGACATCACAGATTCACAGATTTAGATTCAGTGATGTTAAACACCACTTACATTCAGATTTAGACATCACAGATTCAGAGATTCACATATTCACATAAATAAGAACCTCGTCCGTCAAGTTATAAATTTAGATTTAGATTCAGTCAATTTATAAATTTATAACAAACATCATTCATCAAAAACACCACTTACATTCAGATTCAGGTTCGTCAAGTTATAAGATTCACAAATTCACATAAATAAGAACCTCGTCCGTCAAGTTATAAATTTAGATTCAGATTCAGTCAATTTATAAATTTATAACAAACATCATTCATCAAAAACACCACTTACATTCAGATTCAGACATCACAGATTCAGAGATTCACAAATTCACATAAATAAGAACCTCGTCCGTCAAGTTATAAATTTAGATTCAGATTCAGTCAATTTATAAATTTATAACAAACATCATTCATCAAAAACACCACTTACATTCAGATTCAGACATCACAGATTCAGAGATTCACAAATTCACATAAATAAGAACCTCGTCCGTCAAGTTATAAATTTAGATTCAGATTCAGTCAATTTATAAATTTATAACAAACATCATTCATCAAAAACACCACTTACATTCAGATTCAGACATCACAGATTCAGAGATTCACAAATTCACATAAATAAGAACCTCGTCCGTCAAGTTATAAATTTAGATTCAGATTCAGTCAATTTATAAATTTATAACAAACATCATTCATCAAAAACACCACTTACATTCAGATTCAGACATCACAGATTCAGAGATTCACAAAATCAGTAGAATGAAATGCACAAGGTTAGAGACATCACAGATTCACAGATTTAGATTCAGTGATGTTAAACACCACTTACATTCAGATTCAGACATCACAGATTCAGAGATTCACAAATTCACATAAATAAGAACCTCGTCCGTCAAGTTATAAATTTAGATTCAGATTCAGTCAATTTATAAATTTATAACAAACATCATTCATCAAAAACACCACTTACATTCAGATTCAGGTTCGTCAAGTTATAAGATTCACATTCATAAAAAACCTGATTCACATTCATAACAAACATCATTCATCAAAAAAGAAGATTCACATTCACAAAAACCTGATTTACATTCATAATAAATCTTATTTTCGTCTAGTTATAAGATTCACAGTTATAAGATTCAGGTTCGTCAAGTTATAAGATTCACAGTAAATGTAAGTGGTGAATCGTATTTCATTCAGGTTCTTATTTATGTGAATATCATTCATCATAAATTCAAAAATCGTATTCCATTCATCAAAATTTATAACATCATTCATCATAACGAAAATTTCTAACAAACATCATTCATCAAAAAACACCACTTACATTCAGATTCACATTTACATAAATAAGATTCACATATTCAGATTCAGAGATTCACATGTTCTTATAACTTCAGGGGGTTGCTTTCATAACAAACATCATTCATCAAAAACACCACTTACATTCAGATTTAGTCAATTTATTTTATTTTATTCAAAAAAATTTATAACTTGACGGACCAGATTCAGATTCAGATTCAGGTGAGTGAAATATTGACGGAGTGGTATTTCGTACCAGATTGACGGACCAGATTCAAATTCAAATTCAGGTGAGTAACCATTCTTCTAACAAACAAATATAAATTTATAAAAAGAAAAAAAAAACAAAAAAATGCACCAGGTGGGCAGAGTTTTTCGCTGGTCAACGAATAGCACTGACGGTGGGCAGAGTTTTTCGCTGGTCGTCGATGGTCACCCAGGTTGGTAGTGTCAGCACCGGTCAACCTCGGCGGTGGTCGCTATCGCCTATTGTTCTTCGACTGGTTCCTCTCTCTCTTTCTCTCTCTCTCTCTCTCTCTCTCTCCTCTCCTCTCCTCTCTTTTTTTTCTTCTATTTCTCGCACGTGGTGTCACTTGACCAATGTTGTTGCAACTGAGCCAAACATTCAAAACTCACCTTTTTCAAATTTGGGCGATTCGAGGGGGGCTCTTTTTGAGCTATAAATCGGAGCTGATAAAACATATGGAACTGGAGTGTCTCGCAAGTGAGTGATGGCGAATATAATTTGGCGCAGCTCTGTTTATTGCTTAGGAACTCATGGGTGATCCACATCGAACAATATTTATTTTGGAGAGAAGAATTGTGAGTTTTGAGTATTTCTTCAGAAAATGTTTGGGAGACCCCACAAAAGAGGACCCCATGATCCTCACTGATGTATTGACCATTGACATATTTAATTTTTTTTGGAAAATTGTGTCTGACAGTGACATAAATGGTTCAGATCATTTTCAAGTTGTGGGAGTTATGTTTTGTGGGGGTCTTTATCATTACTGTATTTCTTCTATTTACAAGTAACAACACTAAATAAATAATTTTTTTGATGATAATGATAACTTTTGGTGAGTGGATTGAAATTTTGAAGTGAGAAATAAGATAAAAAGAAAATAATTAAAACTTGAAAAAGAAAATGAACAGACTTAATTATGAAAAATATGTATAAGTAATAAGAGTGTACCATAAAAAAATAATTTTTTATTTTAAGATTTAATGTATATTATCTTTATTAATAAATTTATATTAAAATAAAATAAAAATAAAAAATTTTAAAATTTTAATTAAATGTACTGAGTTATAAAAATAGAACCACCTCTTTTGATTTTATGTTTCTAGAATTGTCCATCAACATTCTCCTCTACATATTTTTATTGACCTAATAGTTGAAACTGTTAACCCGGTCCAACAGCTCTTCTAGCCCCATGGTAATTTCTTGTGGCTACTTCAGTCAGTAACCATTTCAAATAACCCACCAAATATGTGTTTCTTTTCTTTTTTATTCTTTTTAATATATATACCAAATAGTTGTTTCTTTTGTTTTTTGAAAAAAAAAATATGAAAACATATTTCTTATCTCTATAAACAACAAATTAAAACTAGCAATATTAAAACACAACCCTTTCTGTTTTGCAATGTTATTTATCTTTTTAAGTTTGCAATGTTCCTTTCCATTTTTTTTAATTGAAATTTGATTCATTGTGAGAGGGAGATTCCTTAATTTGACTTTGGACCGAACTCGTTTAGGCCGGGCTGAATGGGCCAAGCTTGTTGGACCGAGCTAAGTCCATGTGATCGGCTGGCACCTTGGGTTAAGAATACCGGTCTGGTTGAGCCGGAGTAACTTTAGCCCACTAGCCCGGTGAAATAGCGCACTTTAGTGAGTTAGAAAGGACTTCCGAGTTTGGGCCGACCGGGCAGGAGAGTTGCCAAATTTAAGGAGCTCGGTGGAAGTACTGCGCAGTGGGAAGTAATCAAGGAAATCGGTCAAGAGGAACAGTTGGTCGGTAGGTCATGGTGCAGCGCTGATAGTAGCCTGGTTGGAAGTGCTGCGCGGTTGCACGACATCGCGGAAAGGAAGTTCCGCAGTTCGTGCATTAATTCAGTTAGGCAGTTTTTGTTAGGTGATGTTTAGCTGTTTTAGCGTTGACACATGGGGAAATGTGAGAAAGGAGCAGGTCCACACGTCCCGAAAGGAATGGGCGCGAAAGCGCGCGTAGAAATCATATAAACAAGATCGCATCACCATATAGAGGGATGGTGAATAATTGAACTATGACATTGTAACCTTTCTCTCTTCTCTCTCAAAAGGTGTGCTAACTTGATCGTCGGAGGGATTTTCCGGCAACACACCACCGGGTAGCTCACTGCCGTTGTGTTTGCAGGTTAATCGAAACGATGCGGAGCTTGGATGCGAGGAGTACCGGTGGTACTAGATATTTGCTCCCCGTACATTGGTGTCGTCTGTAGGAAGGAGAGAACAAACACAACCTTATCCTCCAAGCTCATCGGATCATCTTTTATGGTGAACAACGACGAAATACCATTGTCTGTCATCAACGGTATTACCCCAGAGTCAATCCGACGCAGAGACGGACTTCCTGTCGTTCCAAACATGGCGGGCCTGGAAACCTCTCCACAAGGACTCCCTAGAGATCCACGAGATAAGCGCGTCAGGAGCACTGATCACTCACAGAGTCCAAACGGGCTCCGGCGGTGAAGGGAGTCTCACGCTCAACGCTTGGAGCACAAGTTGAGGGACCAAGACACCATTATCCGGAGAATGGCGGCAGAGATAGAAGCTCTCAAGCGACAAGTCAGAGGGAAGGGTGTTGCTAGAGTGGGTGACCATAGTGAGCGCACCCAACCCCGCCGCTCAGGCAGCCAGAACCAGCGACACATGCCCTCTCTCTCCATCACCAGAAGCTATGGGGTTAGAGACTCTGACCCGCCGGCGGAGAAGTCATGCGCACAAGACAGCAGTTACCATCCCTCACGTCCCTCGACGACTTCAAAATATTCCTACTCCACTCGATCGGAGGACTTGAGGGACGTCTTGGAAGAACGAGCGCGCCGGCGTGAGCCTCAAAGGGTGCCGGCACTCCAACGGTTATGTTACGGGGGTCACGCCAGTGAAGAGGTCGTAATGCTGCCTCCCTGATC